GAAAATCTTAAATACATGATGATCTTATCTACAATTTCTTCCTTCCAGAATAGTGGAAATATCAAATTATTTTTTACTGCTGAGTTTTGAATTTTTACCGCACCTTAAATTTAAATTTATAGTCATCAAATCTCTCTTTATTTGTTGATTTGGGCTGTTTTTGTTATCATATTCTAACTTTACATTAATGGCCCGTCTGTGACTATTGGCTTTTCAAATTCTAAAACTATGACCCGTTAGATAATTTCCACAAAAGTGAGTCTTTGTCCCTTCGTTACACGCTCGCACGCGAAATATTTCGACGAAACTTTTCATCGCCTTCATTCGCCGACAGTTGCCTTTATCCGCCGGCATAGAGCTCTCCCTTGACGCGCCGGTTCTAACTGGCTGCTCTTCTCTCTCTCTTTCTCGTCGCGCCGCTGCCGCTTGTCATCCCCGCCGCTTGCCATCTTCGTTTCTTTCTTCAGTCGACGATTAGAATTCGCATCTCTGTTGCGACGACCTCTGCAACTATGTCAATGAAGATGACGGCGATTAGGGATTTCAGGGTTTCCAGGTCTTGGATCTTGCTGGGGCTGCTGCGCATTCCCGGGCAGTGGCTTCGTTACAGACGGCCAGATCTAATCCAAGTTGTTTGGGTCGGGCAGTAGTGGCCAGTGGGCTAGGGCTGGGAGGAGTGGATTGGGGCTGGGGTGACGCGGGGATGGGGCAGGGGCTGGGAGGAGTGGATTGGGGCTTGGGTGTGGTGGTTGCAGTCGTTGGCCAGAGTTGGTGGCTGCCAGTAGCGGCGGCCGGCGGAGGTAATTGAACGGTGCGGCGGCGGTAATTGAGTGGTGAACTGGTGATGGCGTCTGTGTAACTCTGGCGGTAGCCAGACGGTCAATATGGTCGGAGTCACTGCGGCGGCGGAGTCACTATGCGGCGGAGTCACTGTGACCGGAGTCATTGTGGACAGAGTCACTGTGGGTGGAGTCACTGTGGCGGCGGGGCAGTCACTGTGGTCGGCGGGACAGTCACTGTGGTCGGTGGGGTCACTTTGGCCGGAGTCACTTTACACTGCAGGGTTAATTGTGATGTTGGTCACATTTTTGGAATTTTAAAAAACAGATCACTTTTTTATCTTTTATCCTATTTTTAGTAATATTGGAATAAAAAGGCCTTAAAAATATTACGTGGTATTTGTTTTCTTTTTATATGAAATAATCACATATTTGTGATTAAATTGAAGGTTGTTTACAAAAATGTGATCTCTTAAGTTTAGTGATTATAGTAGTAAATTTAGTCATAGTAACTTATGTTTAAGTTTTACACATTTTAGTCATAGTAACTTATGACATTATACTATAGTAACTTTTAGTCTAATTTGCTCTAACTATTATTATAGTGTTGTACCATTTTTAAAAATTCCGAGTTAACTGATTGAAATTGATCCTTCAAAACTTTATGATATTGCATCTCATATATAAGCATTAACTTAACATAGTATAACTGATTAGAGTGAAGAATATGTTGTTGGTGTACACTTTTATTCACATATGGAGTTTCAGATTTAGGTTCACTTTACAACATAAATAGGAATGGTTTTCCCTATAAACTTCAAAGTTAATGAAATTTAAAGCTTTGTGTTTCTTAAAATTCAAAAAGGAAACCATATTACAATGACATGTATTCAGGGATAGTATGTATGGAGCATCACTAATTGAGAAAATGTATTCAGTTTGAACAAATGCACATACATTAACATTTGGCATGATAATTGTGCTTCCTTCTCACAATTATCACATCTTTCTTCTCATCTTCCTTCTCATCTTCCTTCTATAAGGTTTTATTTTCACATTCATTTATGTAGCGATTCAATGGGCTATTGAAGCTGGTTTTAGGAACTTTGAAGTGGAGAGTGGAGACTGATTCGCTAGCTTCCATCCTGCTCATTCTTTCTGCTCATTATGAAGGATTCAGAGCATTTTAAGCAAGCTTCAGCAGTAAATTCGCAAGGCTAAGATCAGTTTTCACCATAGTTATCGAGAAACCAAATTGGTTGCTCATCTTCTAGCTCAGGAAGTTTCTTTATCTGGAAATGCTATTGTTTTCCAACATATTCATCTTTCAGATAGAATATGTGGGGCTAACAATTTGGATATATTTGCCATTCTCATTTCCCATCTTTCGATTGGTCACTTAATTTTTAGACGACACTTTTTAACTATCTCATTCTCATTAGATTTGTATTGCTACTTTAGGTGATTTTCTTTGAGTGGTTTTGGCCTATATCCCCCCCATTTATTAGTTACTCTAATTACATTGATAGCAATTCGGATGTTCCAATACATTTTTTTTGTCCTAAAATGAAATGTGTTTCTAAGCTGGAATGTCAAAACCTATATCTTTTCCAGGATGCTCAATGTTAATGTATAATTTGAACATATGATTCTAATGTTGAATGCGTTAACATATGCATTGATGGCATATGGTTTGTAATACAATTTTAAGAGTACAATATACATATTTGATATTTGTAGGTTCATAAATCATAAGAGTCCTAAAACAGTATATTGAGAAAACATATACAATATACATTATAGGTTGCATTATAATTGCAGATCAGAGTGTTGATGGATTAAATTGATAAGTAAATTGCCGTAGTTTTAATGCAGATACTTACCTCCTAAAACATTGAGTTTGAATTGTTGGGACTACAAAATCATTATTGAGTAACACACTCATCATTGATTAAGATGACATTGATACACTTTGCTTTTCATCCAAAACGGGCCAATAAGAAGATGAATTAGCATAAAACTGCAATTCCTTTAGGATATGTACCTAGAACTTTTATTTCTTCTATAAATTGTGATCTTATTAATAATCCATAATTCGTGATCTTATTAATAATGCGTAATATGTGATCTTATATGTGGTGGTGATACATCAACCAAAATGGCTCTTGGTGAGGTAAGGACATACTTAAGCTCGAATTCGCTATCTTCTTCTGATACAAACAGTGTACTCCTTCAAGAGATTCATTCTCCAAAATTTTTCAATAGCATTAAATGATCTGTTGTGCGAATTCATAAGCCGAAAGTGAAAATGGGTGCACCTGTAATGCTAAGGACTATCGACCATTCCTTTGGATTGCGTAATGGCACTCGGCTCATCATCACTGTTCACTAAACTCGGAACTCATATTCTCGAGCCTCAGATGACATCTCGAACTAATACGGGACAAAAGTTTCTTATTCCGAAGCTTACTTTGACTCCATCTGACCTAAATTAAAACCGCCGTTCACATTTGAGCGTAGGAAGTTAGTTCCCTTTTATGCTTAATTAGCCACACGATGACCATTAACAAGAGTCGGGAACAATCCTTGGAGAGGGTTGGTGTTTTCTTATGTCGTCCGGTTTTCACCCATTAACAACTTTACATCATGGTGTCAACAATTTATAATTATTGCTCACGGTGTCAACAGTAACATCCCCTTATGGTTTAACGTTTATTATACGTGATGATGATAGAAAACCGGCCAAAACACATTAAATGTTGTTTACAAGTAAGTATATAATAATTTGTAATTTTTATCTTCATTTACTTTTGTTAGAAACAATATATATGTTGATGTATCTTTACCACAACATTTCTGTATATTGCCAAGTAATTATTGCTTACTAAAAAGATAAAACTACATAGTCCTATGAAAGTAAACTAGTTACTATACATATTTTTCTATGAATCAATCTTATTTAATCTCAAAATGTAAGTAAAATTAAGGTAATTAAATGAATACGTTTAATTTATGGATTTGAAATAGAGATTTGGAGAAGACTTTATGGATCAGATTTTGATTTTGATGTTTGTGACTTTGTAGAACTTTTAATATAGTGAAAGTTGTGAATGTCGATATACTACATCCGTTCTTAAATAAATACAACACCTTGACTTTTACATTATTCATATGTTCTACTTTGATTACGTTTTATTTATTAATATAATAATATTATTTTAAGAAAAAAATTTGTTAAACTTGTCTCATCGTAAATTTTCATAATCTAATTTTTTTAATTTTTTTAAAAATACAAAATCATGTATATTAATTGTCAAAGTTATGTGTTAACATGGGGAATTGTTGACCGTTACATTTATTAAAAAATGAAAAAAGTATTTTTCAATCTAAGTTTGCTTGGATGAGAAAGAAATTTTGATTGGAAACATAATTTTGAGTTTGAATATTTCAATTGGAGACCATTTGATATTTAGATTAAAAAAATTATATATGCTGATGTAATTTAAAAGATCTTTATCAATTATAAATTTAATATATATTTTGAACCTAAACTAAGTACCGTGAGAAGTTTTAAAAGATGGGAGGGACCGGCTTTTTACGCTTGAAAGATCTTTACTCCTGCCACATTTTAATATATGGGTTCTGCAGAGACCAGCCGTTTAGAGTTGGTTTGCACCTACTTGGAAAAACCAACATCTCACCTTTTTGATTTAAAAAAAAAACTTATTTTCCAAAACACTAGAACTAACATTTATTTTTCTCGGCTTCCGCGTCAAAAGTACTTTTACTTTTTCTATTACACAAAAAACACTTATTTCTCAAACACTATTAACTTTTATTTAGTAACTTCTCCCCATTTCTTTAAAAAATCACTTTTTTAAAAGCAGAAGATGTTCCAATCAACCCCTTAATAAAAGATGGGAGAGACCAACTTAAAGATGGGAGAGACCAACTTAAAGATGGGAGAGACCAACTTCTGAACCTGAATCTTTACCGTGAGAAAAAAAATTGATAGAAATAGAATTTGGTAAAAAAAAAATGAATTCGTTAAAAAAATGAAATTGGTAAAAAAAACATGAATTTGTTAACAAATAAAAATCTGACATTTTTGGAAACTCTTTTTTCTTTAAATCTTTAGTTGTTAAAAAATCTTTGACATTTTGACATAATTTTTCTTTATTTTATTCTTTAAATATACTACGTATGTTAGAATTTTATACTCTTTTCATAATTTAACAAAGACCGTATATCCAGCTACAACCAACAGTAGACTTAAATTTGAGATATAGTAGACTCAAAATACAAAGTAGACACAATTGCACTAGTTATCATATCAAGATATAAAAAAACTTTATTTAGGGATGACACTCGGTTTTGGAATCAAATATCTTTCACTGCATTCATAAAGATTTTGACAAACACAGATTCAAGAGACAATCGAACTCCAAAATTAACCAATCCAAGCAAACAGTAACAGGAACCTCAAAGTACAGCATGATGATAGATATAGCAGAAACACAGCACCAACTAAACTAACGGATCAAACAGAAAGCTTCAACAATGATCAGATATCAGATCTGTAGCTTAGTTCCTCCAGTTCCCTTCAGAATCGCCTCCTCCCCTGGAGTAACGCGCGCCACCGCCACCGCCACCACTGTAACCTCCACCACCACCTCCATAACCTCGGTCGCCTCCTTCACGGCGACCGCCTCCATAGCCTCCATCACGACGACCGCCTCCATAACCACCACCTCCACCGCCACCATAACCTCCACCACCACCTTCACGGCGACCACCACCGTAGCCTCCTCCGCCTCCACCTCCTGATCCACGAGATTGAGCCTCATTGACTGTGATGTTTCGTCCATCAAGCTCACTGCCGTTCATTTCATTAATAGCCTTGTGCATGGAATCCTCATCCTTAAAGGTGACAAATCCAAATCCTCTGGATCTGCCTGTTTCGCGATCATTAATAATCTGATCCATTCAACATAAACAACGCAGATAGTCAGCATCACGGATAACAAAATCTAGAAATTCAGAATCAAATTTACGAATATTCAAATGAAAACATATGTACGACTGTATGAGTGCATGTGTCAAACAAAAAAGCGATCGATCTTAACCTCTCATAAGAAAGAGGAAGATGAACGTACCGTTTCAAGAGAAAGAATTAGTAACAAATAGTAACAGAAGAGTAGATGAATCAAGTCAAGTAACAGAGTAGTAGTAGAAGAACAAGTAACAGAGAGATCATGTCAACAAAGCCGGATCGGGCCGAAACGAGATCCGACTACTGCTCGGAGACTAACAGACCTTCGTATCCACGACATCGTAGGTAGAGAACGCTCGACCGAGAGAGTCATCGGTGGTGGCCCATGCCAACCCACCGACGAAGCATCGGTACTCAACATCTGCCATATTTCCTGATCTGATAATCACAATAATGAGAAAGAAGATGAAGCGGTGAATAAGGAGGCAGAGGAGGCGATGGGGAAATCAAGGCAGAAAAGTGTGATTTATATAGGCGGGGGAGAGGCTAGGTTTAGGGCAAGTTACGGGTTTCCGGGTGGACAATGCAAGCGGCGCCTCTTGGCCCATTTCACCCTGGTTACAACTCTGGTTGGGATGAGTAAGGCCGTGTTTGCTCCATCTTCCATTATTTTTTTAGTATGGACTAGCTCTTCCATTATTATTACTCATATTGGTAGGGGTGGGAAAAACCGAACCCAAACCCGGATACCGACTCTGGAACGACCCGAATTATGATCCTGGTCTGGGTTTTTTCTTTTTAACCGGCCTGAATTAAAAAACCCGGACCGAACCCGAAATTCCGGGCTCATTAACGGGCCTTAAAATCTATAACCCGGCCCGTACCGATAAAAACCCGAAACAATTAGCTTTAATATAACATTAATATAATATATGAATATAAATTTATAAATATTTCCTAATATATGATTATAATCACGGTGGATAAACAAACCATTTAGTAACTTTTAGTGACTACAAATATGTTCAATTTGTTTAGCGTAATGACCATGAAATAATATTTATAGCAATTCTAGTCACATTTTTATTTATAAATTTTATTTTGTAATATTTTTAAGAAACCTATATTATTTATTTATATGCATCTTATATAAAATATTAAGATAATTATCTTCTTTGGATATGAATTGTTGGTGATTTTGAAAACTAATATTTGTGTTATCATTTGCGTTTTGTATTTTTGATTAATTTTATTTGAAAATAGGTGCTAAAATATAAAAGAACAATGAGATAGTTCACGTTTTCAGGCTTTAACCGGCCCAACCCGAACTCGGGCGACCAAAAACCCAACTCGGACCGTATATAATGGGCTTTGTTCCGGTTCCTAATTTTCATAACCAGAGACTTTCAAGGTAATTTCCGGGTTTAGCAAAAACCCGACCCAGACCGGACCGATCCCACCCTACATATTGGTACGAAGTACGGAGTACTACTTAGTATCTACTCCGTATTTGGTATGGTTCCCTTTGTTCAGGTTTCCCTATCTAATTTTCTTTTTATGATGGCGTTTATTCGTTCGATTTTAGGATTTCACACATAATTAAATGAGTTTTAGAGGGTATTTGATATTTTCAATTTAAATCTATTGATATCTGATAAAAATACGTATCATGTGTATTTGATTATTATTGGACATGTTTAAATCTCTATTGATCTGATCAATTGAGATCAAGTTGTTTGCTCATCTTAATTTTATTGTTTATTGTTTATTTCGGTTTTATTCAGTTCAGATGTATACTCCATCTGTCTCATAAAATAGTTCTTACTTTCGTTTTTAGGTCGTCCCACAAATAGCTCTCATTTCCCTTTTTGAAAAGTTTTGTGTGGCTCACGTTCATTTACTTTTTTCTTATTCAACTATAATCATACATTCCACTTTGTTCTCACTCTCTTAAATTCCGATCCAAGTCAATGCGAGAACTATTTTATGGGACGGAGCCACGGAGGTAGTAAAATCTATATCACATCGCATAAAAAACATTCAGATTAAATCGCCATGATTTATTATCATTTCCATCATCATAATAATTATTTTTTATTTTTATTATTGTTATTTACTAGTATTATTATTTTTGTTGTTATTATTTGTATGTTATTAATAATAACATCATTACACTACATTATTATTATTATACTACGTATTGTGGGTGTTCAGAAAAGGCGTTTAAACAACAAAATGACAGTTTGACTACTTTTAGAATTTCAATTTTAAAAAAGTTGTTTGATAAATAGTTGTTGAGCCTTAGCGTTTCTAGACGGAACCACTCAAATAGAAACGTTGCAAATAAGAGAGTTTACGATTAACGTTTTGAAATATGATGTTTTCTACTAAGTTTTATGGCCAAACAACTAAATTACCAAACATACTTTGGCCACTCACCCACTTATTCCGCTAGTCAAACCTATTAACATAATTCGCTATCCATAATCTGCTAACCGAAACGGTTAATTAATTAATCTGACTATGAAATATTTTTTTAACTACTTACTATATTCAACAAAATGCTATTGATCCATGGGGTGCTTACTGCATGTTCATGCGGCAGCTTTTTGCATGGTGTGCGTATTTAACTATACAAAAACTAACTTTTAACGACAATTAAATTACCAAGTGTGTTTGGTATGTCCATTCAATCCTTATTGTAGCTCATTGAATATTACTTCATTCCAAAAAGGTGAAACTTTTAGAGACGAATAAAAGGAACAATGTAGATATAAGTGGATAAAGTGTCTTGCGGCAACCCGTAAAATGGTAAGGAAGGCAACATCGAGATATATATCTCTAGATCTCCAAATTTTAAATTTTTAATCGAATGGTCCACAATGACCAGAAACTCTACTTTGCTATTAAAGAAAGACACAGATTCAGGATCCTTAGTCCTTAGATAAGAAACATCCGCACATAGGAAGAAGTGTAATTGACTAATACTACGTATATTCATGACTAACACGCTCCTTACAAGTCATGACTAACACGCTCCTTACAAGTCATAAAAAACACGATCCTTAGTAACCAATGAATAGTGAACGGGAACATTCCAACGGGACGGAGGGAGTATTTCCTTATGAAATGTTGTTCGAATGTTCTACACTTTCCAGATCTACGCATCCACCAAATCTTCATCTCGGCGCCTCCACTCTTGTTGCTTGCCGAAGATAGCATAGTTCGCAGCTTCCACGAGCCGCCTTCGCCCCCATGTTTGTTTTTATCTACATCTCGATTTTCTTTTTCGCCAATAAACGGATTTTATTGTGAATATTGTGGCAGCTATGGTTCCGCGATGGTGGTGGCTAGGGTTCGGCGATGGACAGCGGCTAGGGTTTGACGATGGACGGCAGCTAGGGGTTGGCAATGGACGACTAGGGTAATAAACGAACATAGGCTAAGATTTAGGTTTAGGAGGCGGGAATGGTGGGCATTCTGGTTCGTAGCAAGATGATTGATTCCAAGCCCCTTTCAACACCTTCAAATTCGTGGACTGAGTCTGGTCTGGGGTAGTGGAGCAGCGTTGGGTGACGCCGGTTAGGATTGGGTTTGGGGGTATTGGGTGGCGGCATTGGGCGACGAAGCATTGGATCGCGACGTAGGGAGCTAGGAAGGCCAGGATGGCTATGGGGGTGATGCAGTGACGGCAGTGCGAGGGTGGGGCATTGACTATGATCCGAAGATGGTGGTGTTGGGAGATATTTGTATTATGTAAGTATTGTCATGATGAGAAAGCAAAATTTTGACCGTACAAAGAGAAAAAATAAGTTGAAGAGAAATTTGGTTATGCAAATGCTTGATGCCTCTTTCAAAAAAGTGTTAGCTATTCTTGTTCGAAGTAACGTTATTAATGATTTTGCACATCAAAAGGCAAGAAGAATAGGACAAATACAAGTTCACGGTGTATTGTACATATATATGTTAGCATTTAAAAACTTATCTTTTTGAGTATTAAAAACATTATACTCCCTCCGTCCCTTATAACTTTGTCAAATTTCCTTTTTTGGATGTCCCATTAAGTTTGCCACTTTCCCATTTAAGTAAAGAATTTGTGGTTCCATTTAATTCTCTCTCCTATGCACAAACTTCAACCACACGGTTTTTACTTTATTAATCCCCATGCCGGTCAAACTTGGCAAAGTTATTAAGGACGAAGGGAGTATCATACACTTTGAGTATGTTTTTCATATGACGTTTTTATCCAATTTGTCCTATTTTCTATACGATTCGCGCATAATAAGTATTTTTGTGGGGGGCTCCGAAATGCTGAAGACACCCCTATTTCTTTTAAACTTAACACTCCGACATTCATTATGTGTAAGATAAGACACCCGATTAGAGCATCTCCATTCATGATCTCTAATAATCAATTTTTTCTATGATTCTTACCTTTTAAATATTGTTATATAATTAATGTTTAAATAATCTCAATATTCGTTTATGTCTCTCAACCATCATCTTCAAATAATCCAATTTTTTCGTTCCTGCATTAACTTCTATTACATATACTTTTTAAATAATCTTAAAATAGTCTGGATTCATATTTTGATCCCGGATTATTGTAGCAAATAATCTCACTAAATAATTTATGTCTCTCAATGATGCTTCTTTAAAAAATCTGTCATGTCACTTACTTAATCTCTTAATGATCCTACCAATGGGATGCCCTTATACGTTAAGCACCGTACAACACTACAATCGTGGGTGTACGGTATACGGTCTCTAGTCTACACGGTTATACGTAAGATTTTAAATAATTTGAGACATGATCTCATGCGACGAAAACATAAACCAAACAGGGTACAAGTGTAGTACTTCGTCTACCTAACCAAGGTTAAACATTGTTTAGAAGATATTTTAAGAGTGGACCCTCATGCATGATACTGCCAACCGCAAACGTATATCCAGACAAGAGATATTTATTCATACTCTGTATGATTGAGGGACCCTCTTTAATGAACCGATTGAAAAAAATTGGGTTCAAATTTCGAGTAACCAATAATTACTACTCTCTTGCATGCCGTTTTCCCTAAAATTTGTGGTTTCAGTTAATTCTTTCTTCTGTGTACAAAATTCAATCAATAGTTTTTACTTTATTAATTCTCGTGCGGATCAAATTTGTCAAAATTTTAAGAGACGAAGGTATTAAAAAGAATTTCCACTCTGTATCATTTAAATAAACTAGTGTGTAAGATTATGATTAAGGTCAAAATAAATATACTCCATAACTATTACTCTGCACTTCCTCCTCCCTATTTTAATGTTCACTACAATAGGTTTGGTCATACGTAGTACGAGTATTATTTAAGGGTAAAATAGTAGGAGAAAAAACATGTAGTAAAAGTAGGAGAGATAGTGGAAAACTGAAAGAGAAGGTAAACGTATAAAAGGCAAGGATAATTAATTACTTCCTCCATTCCAAAAAAACTTTCTGATTTGAATTGACATGCTTATTAAGAATGTGAAAATGTATGATTGTAGTTATGCACGAAAAATGTAAAATAA